TCTATATATAGATATAGATATAGATATAGATAGATAGATATATCTATCTATCTATATATATCGATATATATATCGATATATATATATAGATATATTCTTTTTTACCTCCATATTGCTATTTATTTATTTTGCGATCTTTTAACAAACACAAGCAATACATTCATCTGTGGAACAACAGACAGTGTCAAATGTATTAGACATAAATGTTTTCGCCTTATTGATATATATATATAGATATATTCTTTTTTACCTCCATATTGCTATTTATTTATTTTGCGATCTTTTAACAAACACAAGCAATACATTCATCTGTGGAACAACAGACAGTGTCAAATGTATTAGACATAAATGTTTTCGCCTTATTGGTTAAGATAAAAAAAAAAAGTAAAATAACAAAAAAAACTCATATGAAAGACAGCTTATCCACTTCAAGTAGAGATGTTAACTTCCTAAACACTTTGAGTCCTATTTTAAAAAACTGCATTACATCACCTGAGCTAAAACGTAAGACCTGGTTTCACCTGGTCGAAAGTGTAGTCTGCTTTCTGTCACCAAATTGTCAGGTGCGATGGGTGCATCTATTAAAAAACGCCCTCGGTCCACTTGAACACCCAGCAAGGCATGATAGGGGCCGCCAGATTCCCAAACATGGTAAACCACACCTGCCCTGGCATGAAAATTAAGATGCACCAGTTTTTACACCAAGCGCACGTGCTCCCATCGACAAAAATAGGGCCCTTTAACTTAGAATCTTTGAAGCGCTCATTTCAATAAATTCCAAAATTCTACCAAACTAGAGTGTTGTAAACATAAATCAGTCAGTTAGAAGTCAAATTTAATGAATGCAAACAAATCCGTGGCTCTATCACTTCAATTTTTCATATTTCGTGAAACATATGTAAACATGTGGACCGCACTGCTTCGGCACTGAAATTAAACTATATCAATAAATCAAAAGATATGTTATTATACAATAAAATAAAGCCTACCCTCCTGACTACCAGTAGTTCAAATTTGTCCTCTGTAGTGGACATTTGTGAACCTAAATATGTCCCACCCAGTGCATCCAATCACATTAACTCCTTTTGTGCTCTAAAGAGAACATTCAGTGCTTTCCAATGATACCAAATTTGTAGGGGGTGGGGTTTTGTTACTTTGACTTCTCAATAGAAGAAAATGGCTTCCTCAGTGCTACCACTTTTTTATGGGTAGAGGAAAAGTAATACTTTTTATCAAACACATTTTGTCTTGAAATGCTGTTTGCATTTTATTTATAAGACTCTTATGAACACGTTAAAGTGTTGTTTGAGTTGTTTTAAGTGTATTTGAGCCTAGTATTCAAGTGTTTAAAAAATGTAGTGGAATTTCAAAAAATTCTTTTGGAGTAATCCAATTACTTCACATAGATTGGGGAATTTCAAAATAAATGTGATTGGACAACATTTTTTTTTCCTGGTAGTCAGGAGGCTACTGATCAACAGAAGTGAAACAAAATCCCCCCCAACCAACAAATTGCAGCCTTTCCAAGTTGAAAGTTGCATTTTACAACATTGCAATGTCAATTTCAGATCTATAAAATTTTCAGCCCGACTCTCAATTGTCCATAATTTTCATGGCGGTTTGTCGATACGTGCCCTGCGATTGGCTAGGAAACGGTGCAGGGTGTACCCTACCTCTCGCTCAAAGTCAGCTGGAAAGACTGTGACCCTAACAAGGACAACCACAATACAAAATGGATGGAATTTAACAAAAGTTCACTTTCAAAACTCCATTGGGAAAATTAAAAAGAATATAAAAAACTGTGCGGAACCCAACAAGTTATTAGGATGTGGTTCATACTCACTTTATTAACTAGCCCCTATCGGGTAATCAAAACGTTAGAAACATCGTCGGGGTTGATGCCATGCAGTTGTACACTGTTACAATAATAAACATATTGTATTGTAAATTAATACCTCACACAGATTAAGATTATTCAGCGGCGCCAAATGAAATGTCGGCAGACTTTGTTACTATGCCTCACATTTTGAGTACGTACTATTTTTAGCGAAGTCTTCTGCAGTTGCTTTTTTTCCTTGTGGTATCCAGAAAGAGCGCGGCCTGGGGATCATACTGCATGCTGGGTAGCCTTAAAACAGCCTGTGTGATGATAGATGAAACAGTGCTTCTCTCCTGGGACAGCCAGTGTCCTCGGTGACTATGAAAAATGCTGGAAGGACTGCATTAGGCAGCACTGTGACAATATCCACATTTTGAGAAAGTCAATTGTGCTGCGACAACCCTTCTGTTCAGAAAGCTGAACATCTTCATCAAAACAGCCAGAGGGAAAAAAAAAGTCGATCTAAAAAAACTACATATGGCAAAATTAATTTACTATTTGAGTTGTTACCCAGTAAATTAAAAACATTCAAATCTTACAATTGAAAACACCCGGAAGGATGCAGTAATACACTTCAGAAGAATTCGTTACATTAAATGGTCGACAGTAATGAACGATTACAACTCATTACATGACACGGACTCAAGTCATGAATGATTAATCAAGCAGGGTCGGACTTTGCCCATTTCGCACTGCATGGTGACTATTAAAGCTTTGCCTTTGTCAACCGACGAGCAACTATTTCTAGGTGATGTAAACTACTGCAAAAAAATACTGTAAAATTATTGATCAGGTTAACATTTGCAGACTGTGTTGTCTTGCCTTGCTGCAGAATGAAACTTCGCAGCGTTCCGTTTCCTTTGTGCCCGCGAACTCTTCTCGAATAAGATTTGTCTCCCTACCAAGGTGAAAGTAAATACCGGAGACTCTCAATCGCCTCCATTGTTGTTTGTTGCCAGTCTCATTTGAACAGAGGTGTTCAATGTGCCAATTTATTTTGCCTTTCAACTCGACTACTCTGAAGTGGAAATCTGAAAAACTCAAACTTGCCAAGTACAGAGACGACTGAAAGGTACTGTGTGCAGGGAACATGCAGCGAGAATCTTATCATGACATTTTGGACAGTTCTATTCTTGGCATAGTTTGATGTATTTGGCGTGGAAGAACTTGAGAGTCCTGACCTCAACGCCTAACAAATGGGAGATTGTGAATCAAGTCCTCACTCAAGTCTTGATTATCAACACACAATTAAAATTTTTTTTTACAGGGTTATAAATGGGTATATTTGTACCTTGTTTTTGGACTTGCTAACTAATGGTGAGCCGTCGAGGCCATGAAGGCCTAAACTCTTTCAAAATTAATGATCTACATCTCCAAGCTAAATTCTAATATGTGTTCCATGAAATGTTATTTATTCCCACTAGTCTATACTCTTAATTTCTTACCGTTTCTCCTGGTTGCACGGCTTCCATTTTTTCTTTTTTTTTTTTTTTGTCCAATCAGATTTCAGCTTCTGTGTTGTCTTGTCAATTCAATCTTTCCAGGGCCTTTAGAATCAAAGTGCCTGGAGATTCTTTTAAACACTATTAGCAGTGTCACAGTTTCTAGAACCAATCAGATTTCAAATTTATCCAAACAGGGTCAGCGTGCTGGCCCTCAATGATGTCAGTCTATTTCCGTCCTCTGATTGGTTGGTCAAAGGAAAACCTCTTACAGGCGACTTCGACTAACAAAACACATCTGCAGCAAATGTGTGGTCAACACACATTTTGGTGTTGAATTTTTATTTTGAGTAGATTTTTAGTTTTTGGTCATATTATTTGATAAATATTGATTTGTAGCTGGCACTATTGTGCGCTGTTACGTTGCATGTTTTTGTGTAGTGTTGATGGTGTCTATAACTGTGCCATGATCAAAAGTATCCACTTCCAAACCCATTTGGCAAGTCTGTCAAAACCTAAAATATTTCCTTTTACTTAGCACGGATGCCATCCTGAAACCCCAATAGGCTATTGAAAAAGTACATGACTTTGTGCATCTCGTCAAGGTGTGACCGGGCTGGGCCCAGTTGACCTTGGAGGTCTATCCCACACAAGCACCTGAGTGTGGCCACGCACGCCGCTTTCTCTGCAGATCAATAGGCTCCGATCCTGGCCCTGGCCTGTAGTCAGCCTCTTCGTAGTGGGTCGATACCCAGCATACTCTTCTTGGATGCAAAGTTACATTAAATCTTCAATGAAAAAACATTACCGCCGCTGAAAGCCGGCTGCAATTATCCGGCAAGGGCTGCCAGCCGACTTTGCACTTCCCACAACGTCTCCCTTTAGTACAAGGCATCTCTGACAGCACGATTACAGTCTTTGTAATCGGAAATTACTGTAAAGGCTGTGGGGAATCGAACATGTGAGAATTAGTCTGCTTATCAGAAAGAGGCGACCAGAAAAGATGGTTGTTCACACATTCACAAGGATGATGATGTCAAATCATGCAAACGGGGTTGTCTTTGTTTTACAGTGAATGAAGGGATTACAGCGTATTATGAGAAAATTCTTTGTGAGAAGTGCTAGTAATGTCTGGACTTGCGCATCAAGGCGCCGAATCATTTCAGAGCTAGGCAGCCGCAACCGAAAGATGAAATATTCAACTTGTCGCTTTCATGTGGAAAAACATCCAAGCTCCAAGACGAGGTGCTTGCAGCATGGTCTCCATAAATATCCCACTTTTTTTTTTTTTTCTGCACTCTCATCTAAATTTAGATGAGTGACATGTCAGAGTTAAATAAGCACAAGGGAAGTGAATGGAAATGTGGCTGACGAATGACAAGACCTTGGTCTTCCACCTCAGGCTTACCGCTTAGTGATTTGCACATTTTATAATCGTGATAGCCAGATAGTACTATGCTCAGAACTGACACTAAACTGCTGTACACGTGTACCAATTTTGAATAAATTTACCAAAATGCGAGAGACCCCACACAAATTCACTTAACTGGTGAGAAAAGGTTTTATTTTTGAAAAATAAGCTATTTTTGTTCATCTATCTTTGACAGTGACGCATAGTGACAGACAGAACCCTTAAATGCGCTTTCACTATATGTTTGAGGATACAATTAACCTGCGTATCCACCTGTCAGCATGACAATTCCTGCAAGTGCATCAGCTTTGTGTTGAGCTAAATTTGTGTCTGAATTGAGAGTACGTGTGTCTATATTTCAGTCGAAATACTTTCTGATGTTGTTGTTTAATGGTGTGCTGTGATATTTTTCGATTGTAAGAGATGTCCTTTGGCGCAATAATGGTTGGAAATCAGTCCTGTAAATAATATAAATCAAAGCCCCTGCCAAGTGAAAATAAATGTCTTGTAAATTTGACACACCGCATAAAAGAACGTTGTTAACAACCCCGTCAAATCTGAATGATCGCCAAGCACGTCTATAAAATGAGGCTTCAGAATTCAAGCTCTTGTCACTGCACTAAAACATTGTAGGCAGGTCTGATGGATGCAATGAAACCTCGCCGTGCTCAAATGTCAACTGTCTATCAAGTAACTTCTATGACCTGGAAAAATGGATGCTGCTTGCATCTTGCCTATAACGACATTTGCGGCGCAAATATCTACTTGCTTAAAGCCTCCGATGGCTGAAATCTATCCAAAAGGTCATCATGGGGCCTTTCCAAGGTGCAACAACGAGGCGCTCTAAAGCAGGCACTCCAGCATGAAGCCCTTGTCCATATGTTGACTTGATGCTTTTGGTCATTATGAGTTGCCATTTACAGGCAACAATAGCGTGTTTTAAAGCCAGAAGATTGCTGAAGGGAAGATGCATTTTCGGGGTGTAGTCAGAGCGAGCTAGCTAATTGCATGTCGCTATTAGACATAAGCACAGACGTGGAAAAAGTCACCCACACTCTTATTAGGGCCTGATTGATATGGATTTTATTTCGGATGATGCCAATTTGGCAAAATAAAATTCCGATAACTGATTTATTGGCCGTTAAATTTTTAAAAATATATAATGAATGAAATAAATTCTGTTTGCGTCCCTTGAAGGTTGCAACAATAAACTTCTATAGGACAGGTAGAACCTTTGAATGTTTTGCAATAATCTGTCGAAAGTAAACTTTATAACAGAGAGAAAAATCATAAAAAATGGCCCAGTTTTTCTCATTTTTTGGGGATGTGGAAGATGTTTGAATGCAATGTTCTTTGTCTTATGTTGCCACGTGTAAATATGTAAAAAAAAAACAAAAAAAAAAACAATCAACCGATTTATTTTACAGGGTCAAGTAAAGCTAAATTACTTTGAAAAAAAAAAGAGTTGAATGTGTATATTGAATTATAATCCATCTCCTGAACCCATCTCATTAAACATCAAAGGATCAAAGTTTTATGCTGGCGAAGGTTTTGACCCCGGAACACTTTATTTGTTGAGGCAAAAAGTTCAAATAAATGGGAGGTGGATCAGGAACGGGTTGTGTTTGACCGTCGGCCTTTCATTGTCCCTGCAATGTTTTTTAACTGGGACACGGTGCATTGCAAGGTAATTGAAAGCCTCTGTACGTTGAGGACTTTATTTATTTATTTTTTCTTCGGCCTGATTCTGCCAAGTCCACTGTGTGGGAGCACAAGTGGAAGAACTCACAAATGAATCCAGGGAAAGGAATGACAAAAAATTGTGACGAGTGTCATCATCATCAACCCTGACAGACGAGTGGGAGCCGAATCCCGCATGAGGCCTTGCTGCCAGGGTGCAACAGCGGGAAGAGGAGCAGTCTAATTGGCGTCAAACTCTCCTCGGCAATATTTACGCTGAGTCTCCCAGCTTCCAGCGTCCGACCTCGCACGGGATTTATGTTATTGACGGTGTAAGGGTTGAGTACTTATGCGCAAAAAACTGGGTTGAGTGTCACACACTTTTATTGTAACCTGCCTTCAATTATTGTCTTTTTTAAGAGTCGATATCAATGGTAGGAAGTCAAAAAGTACAACTACTTCTTTGTTCTACTTACCTGTATGAAGATTTTTCATGCATCTGCGTTGTACTTTAGACTTTTACTCTGGACATTTGCAGACATATACCTTGACCGTACATCTGAATTCCTTACTTGTAGTCACAACAGGTTTGTTACAAATTTCAAAGATGACATAATTGACTGTAAAACTGATTGGTGCATTTTAAGTTTGTACTTATGTACATTTCAGAGGTCGTACTTTTTACTTTTTCTTAAGTTGAATAGTATTTATACTTTTACCATAGTCATTTTACACAAGTATCTGTACTTCTACTTCAGGATAGAATGTGAGCACTTCTGACACGTTAGACCCAATGCACGTACTGTATCCCAAAATTTGATGTTAAAAAGATAATTATGCATCTGTTTGAAGGTGTTAAGATATGATTCCTCTCTGTTAGCTGGATTTGAAGGAAACAATGTAGAGTGCTGTTGAGGGTATTTCCTGCTTACTGTGATTGCGATCACCTTTGGTGACCCCTCGCCCCCACCACTTTTGGGACCCCTCCAGAGGACATGTCAACATCAGGGGAGGGGCTGTTGTCTCGAGTGTCTGTGTTGCAGCTGTTGAGGGACTGCGCTTTGCTATGAGTACTGTTGATCTCGGTCTCTTTCCTGGACATCTGTTTGCGCACTTGAAACAACGTGTGTAGTGTTGGGGTTTATCTTCTTCCTCCTTGGTTGATTGTCGGCCCCCCAGGTGTCTCTTCTGTTGTTCCCCCGCGCCGTGGGTCGGTCCCTGATCGCTGTTGAGCCCCCCTGGGAGGACCTCTTGTCTCGGGATGTGTGCACAGCGGGGGTTCTGGAGCTTGCCATCGCACCAGATGGTGGGTGGTGGTCGTTTGGTCTCACCTCACCACTCCCACCTTCTTCCAGCCACACCGGGTCAGATGTCATGTTACTTTCTTTGTTTCCGGGATTTGCATGAGAGGCGTAACTAACCGCCTCTCATTATCATATTGTCTCTATATAATCTCATGAATGTGTTTCTTCTACGCTTCCTGATTCAAATCTGGACCCCTCAGGAGCCCGAATCGATTCGTAAACTGCAGAAAATAAAAACCCCTCGAAGTAACTGTACATCGCCTCCAGCCTTTATTTGGATTACCAACATTCTCCTCGTCCGAAATTCAACGAACACGCGGGACAGAGGAGGCCGCTCTTCCCACAACAAAGGCAAAGTAATAAAACACCCCATGTGTAAATGTAGTATTTTTGATACAACTATTATATTGGATGTGATTATTTCCCCACATTATTGTATGTGCAAACACATCAACACTGACAGGTGACACTCTATAATGCTGACTTCAGCAGTGCTTGACTTGTCCATTTGTTTGGCGCCCGATGTGCTCTATCAGCTCGGTCTGTTGGCGCCTGCACTGAGTTACTGCCACCGACACAAATTCATTGACATTCTCAGAGTGCTCAGGCACCAGCATTCATCGTAAGTTATCACTGTAGGCATCTAGGAAGCCACCCTGGGTCTATTCAGCAGACTTCTCTCTGCACTGCAGTCTGTGAAGCTACACACACACAAGCGCGCGTGCGCACACACACACACACACACACACACACACACACACACGCACACACGCACACCCGCGGGCATGTCTGTAAATTCTGCCGGTCCGTCATTTGTCAGCGGCCGGGACACCTGTCCGTCATCCTGAGTGCGACATACCACCGGTGCACGGAGATGCATTCTAGTTGAGATCTCAATTAGCATTTCACGATCTGCACATGCTTTGTAAATTAGCTGCTATCTGTATGCTCTATTTTTACCAGTTAGCGCCACACAATCCTTTTGTAAATTCAGAACTGAGAGCATTGTTCAAATGTGCCATTCGGTTATTCAGATTGCACCAAAAACAGATGCCCCAACTCGAAACATGGGGCTGCAGTGCATCAGGCAATCCAGATGGAAACGGTTCAAGCATGAACTGCTGATTGGTTTATATTTTAGAATATAAGGTTCCAAATAGAACTTAACAAGAGAGGAAGGCGCTGTGCCTCCCTAAGAGTCGTGCACAGGTGTCATGAGTTGATTTCCGAATGTACCCCATTGATTGTCGCGTTTTTCCTCATTAAAATTAAAAAAAATAATAATGTGTGTGTATATATATAGATATATATCTATATCTATATTTTTTTTCTTTTAATTCTGATAGTTTTAATGAATTCTTCGTGGGTTTTTTAGCTTTGAGTAGATTTATTTTTTAATGCTATGATATATATATATATATATATATATATATCTATAGAGTCTAGCCTGTATAACATTCTCATACCTGCAGTAAACCAGGCGCGTCCTTGGAGCCACCTGTTAGCCTTGATACACTGCTTACTGGAGACTTTGTGGAGACGGGTTGATACAAGCTAAGAATCGGTTTAGGAGGCACTGAAGTCTCGAGGTCGCACAATAGTCTCGGTACCACCCTTCTGATGAAATAAATATGTCGTGTGTCCTTGGTGTGGGCGCATGGCTGTGGATCACGAGATCCACAGCCATTGTCTGTAAACTGTGGGTGGCCAGAATAGTCTGCAAATAAAACCTTCGAAGGGACTGTTCATCGTCTCCAGCCTGTATTTGGATAACCAACATCCTCACCAACCGAAATCAAAAAAAATATTGTCTACAACACACTAGCTGTTTTCTGTTTGTGTGTGTGTGTGTGTGTGTGTGTGTGTGTATACAATATAGTTTTTGCCAGAAAGTCTGACGAAAACTATATTGTGAAGCCACACACACACACACACACACACACACACACACACACACACACACACACACACACACACACACACACTTGCTTTACTTTTTGTACAATATAGTTTTTGTCAGACTTTCTGGATGGATTAATTACAAAACTGAGGCTCAGCTGTATTTGGAGGAAAGCCACATGCCACCACAAAGATGCCACAACTAGACAGGGTACAAACCATGAACTTTGGAGACTACATATGATCCCTGTGGGCACAATTATGTACTATTGAGGGACAATAACGGTCTGTACCTCTCCAGTATTTTGTGACCGTGTGTAGTTGTAAAGGCTTCTAATAAGACAGAATGTCCCAATGCCCCAATTGGGGTGGAGTTCACTGCACTCACCTAGACTCCTGTGCGAACAGCAGTCCACATGGACTACAAAAAAAATATACTCGATACTGCATTTGAGCAGGTGTACTCAACCTTTTTTTTTTTTTTCAATTTAATGCCTCGACTCTGCACAGCTATAGCGAGGCTCATTTACTATACAACCAAAGTGTCTTTGACTTGTCATTTTCTCCCTCATTACCCTATCCTTCTCTCAAGGACTGCTCTGGAGAATACAGACGCTCAATTAGGCTGTTCTGACCGGAAATCCCATCCCTCATAAATCACCTCTCAGGGCTTCTCCTGAACAGTGGGGAGAGCATCTCTCCAAGCAGGACAGCAGCTGTTATCAATCAGAGGAGTATATTGCATGGGGTAAAATATAGCCGTACACGATACTATGAATTCGGATCAACGAAGGAACAGCTGTAGTGTCATTGGCGAGTGAACAAGGACATGCAAACTTTGATTTGAATTTAACGTCACACTTAAAATCAACAGTTATCGCCAAACTCAGCTGCATGCTACTTCTATCATAACAATGTAATGCGGCCTACAAATGCATATCCTACCTTTAGGCGCGACTCAATAAAGCTTCCACAATGAGCTTTGGGGGCTGTTCCTTTTTTGGGACAATGTAAGTGTCGCAGCAAAATAAAGACCCACTTTTAACATCTTGCTACTTAACAAGGGCGCTGGGAAAACCTGACTCCTCATGCAGTGACAGCGCAATCCCTCCATATGGGGTGGGTAATCTCTGTAATGAATCATTAGCATTTGATTTGACTCCAAGGCAACCAAAAGAGGGAAACGGAGGGGTGGGGGTAAGGTTTAATTAAGGCAAATCGTTCATCCATCCCATGTGTGATGTGAACATCAGAGTCACACTGAGGAAGGTTCTTGCTCGCTCTCTTTGATTGTCAGCATCTGCTTTTTTTCATGAAGTGGCGCTGGAATCATTACTACACCACATAAATAAGTCAATCAATGGAAGTCAAACAGTGCAAATCACTTACGCATCAATAAAACTAACACGGTCTGAACACATAGCAGCTGCAGTGTGGATCCCAAAAATGCAGATTTAGATAAACAGAAATTGCTGGCAACAACAAGCCAGGAAAACCAGAGATGAACAGAAAGCGTTTACAAACTGCAAGCTAAATTTGACACCCTTAAGTACTCAAAACGAAATGGTAAAAATCCAAACACATGAAACTTAAAGTAGTCCAAAATGATTTGAGAACCAAAATACTTACTAAACAAGAATCTAGTGAAACAAGAGTGTCTATGAACATGGGAAGACATCTCGAAAATATCACTTCAGCATAAACAGTGAGCAAGGTCAATAAACCAACAAGAGATGAGGCTGTCCTTAAATACATGGCAGGCTTGATTGATTTTAGACTGTGTAACTATTTTGTGTGCATGCTGTAATTATTTTGTGTGCACAAAGTAATAGTTCGTGCACACGAAGTAGTAATTGGTCTGCACAAAATAGTAATTTGTGTGCACAAATAAGAACTCTGTGTGCACAAATTAGTTTAGTTTTTTTTTTTTTTTCTTCAAAATGTCATGTCTGGGGCTCTGTAAATATTAAAGGATAAAGTATTGTAAGGGGTGGCCCGGTGATCCAGTGGTTAGCGCGTCGACCTCACAGTGCAGAGGTACCGAGTTCAATTCCAGCTCCGGTCTTCCTGTGTGGAGTTTGCATGTTCTCCCCGAGCCTGCATGGGTTTTCTCCGGGTACTCCGGTTTCCTCCCACATTCCAAAAACGTGCATGGCAGGCTAAATTATCCCTACGTGTGAGTGTGAGCGCGGATGGTCGTTCGTCTCTGTGTGCCCTGCGATTGGCTGGCAACCAGTTCAGGGTGTCCCCCCGCCTACTGCCCGTAGACGGCTGGGATAGGCTCCCGTGTGAGGATCAAGTGGATCAGAAAATGGACGGATGGAAAGTATTGTAAAACAGTCCAATGTAATCCATATCTTTATTGTTGTATGGGTTTAAGGGGAAGTCAATTCCAACATTTTTTTAAATTTTTTTTTAAGAAGTTCAATGCAACCCTACTAGTCTCAACACGGATTCTCATTAATACTGTATATTCGTGGAATATGAGTTAAGTTGTAAAATCCACCCGTTTTTGTCCATCTCAGGGGACGGCAATTTTGCCATTTTCTTAATGACCAATCGTGGCTCTCCTGTTTTCTGCCATGATTGGTCATTACCTGAGTTTTGAGCAAATGTGATGTCATTTTCGGTGGACAGCAACTGGCAAAAATGGCCGCCCCTGGATTTTGTTGCTTAACTCATGTTCCACAAACGCAACACAAATCAGAATGCCGACTTTAGACTAGTGGAGTGGCAGAGAACATATACTGTAACTATAAAGAAAAAAAATACATTCTTTATACATATATTTTTAAATAATAATCCGATTAATCTCCTTGAATAATATTTTGCCAACTATCAGAATCAGCATCTGCCTCCCAATATCCATATTGGCAGCACCCAAATTGTTGTATATTGTTCCAAAAATTCATTTGTACAAATAAACATGAAACATAGCAATGTATCTTCATTCTTGTTATTCTCTCTAAAAAACAACAAACAAAAAAAAAAAGTGATGTAGTAGACATGGAAAAATCCCTTGAAATTGCCCGCGGAGTGCCAGATTAAAGATGGCAGAGATTAGATGTTGCAGTTGCACACAGATGGTGTGCATGCTTCATCCACATCGGCTGACCTGCTGCCATTGCTGTGATTACCAACAGTGCGCTAAACATGTCACGACCGTACAAAAAAATGACAGAGGAGTCCAGTATTATTCCTGTGCAATGTTCATTGTACTGCTAAAAGACAGACAGGGTCTCTTATTGTGTATAATATATGATTATACTGGAATATGCATCAAATCAATTTACCAAGTTCTAGGATAAAGAGATTTAAGTATGATTATGACAGAAATTACAAATTTGTTTGGTGTTTGTGATTCAGACCATTACTGCGACTAAAGTATTTTTCCTGTTAGATAGCCTACCCAAGTGGACTTGGAGTTTGCAGTTTTTGTGAGCATTTTGACCTTGCCCTTAGCTCATCAAACGACATTGGAGCAGCATTGCACATGTTCGGCACCAGTTTGGGAAATTACATCAAAAGTGTCAAAATGTGTTGCTGGTTGTGTTACCTGTAGTCCCAGTGCTAGACATAAAAAACCACAAGCACAAGAGAGTCTCACATACTCAAGGATTTCTGCAGGGCTTGATTTTCCCCAAATTCCACAGTTGTGTCGGTTTACTTAACCGGATGGATGAAAGGTAGACACGTTGCTGAACCACAATTTTCCAAGAGATGAGGCTCATTTTGTTCATGAGTGATTTACAAATTTCAACTTGAGCATCAGAATCTTCTGCATGAAGCCTTTGAACAACCTGAAGTCGATATGGAGAAAGCTTTATCACAGTCCAAAGCATCTTCTGAAACGAGCTGTTGTTCGTGTTGCGTTCCAGGGCAGCCCCCAGGATAGACTTTCCCCGGCTTTGTGTGGACGTCCGCTTTGGGAGTTTGGTGTTTTCACCAATCGCAGTAGTAGCAGGCCTTCCGATGGTTAGTTGCTACAGAACAGATGCTGTTTCAATAACCTTGCAATTGATAGCCTAAATTGTAAAGCAGTGGAGCAGTGTCAGAGCCATTATGCTTCTCAAACTTGCAATGTACTACAACAGGAGACAGAGAAAATCTTCTTGCCAGGCAGCAATTTTACAACGCTGTTCCAAAGTCGATTGCTAAGGCAGGGAAAAGGGAATGGCATGCCCTTCCTGGCTGTCAAAAACGGATGGACTCACATCTGTCCAAATAATACCTGAAATGAAAAAAAAAGGAAATCTAGAGTGACTTTTGGGACACCCTGAAATTGAGACGTCAACAAGGAGGCTTTTTTTTTCTTAACAGATTCATTCAAACCTAATCGTACCAATATTCCAGTTGTTATTAAGATATTCCAGTTGTCTATTTATACAGTTGTGGACATGGTCGGCACTAGTATGAGGGGACTCAAAAGCAGCTGCTGGTGAAAGCAACACAAAGCCAAACATGTTGTCCCTCTTTCCACAGTGAAAATGTTGACTCCCTTGCCTGCTCATTAATCCCCATCGGCCCATGTCACCACTCGGCAAGGGGGGGGCCCAGATAACTCCCATTTCTGGCCTCAGACTCTCATTTAGCCCATACTTCACACCATTATTCAACCATTCAGCCATAAAGCAAATGGTATTTACCTCAAAGGCCAGAGCACCTCAGGCAGAAAACTAGGAAGCCAGGAGAGGAGAAAATAATTAACACGAGTATGAAAGTAGAGACTGACTTCTTTTGGAAGTATAAGCCTGTCATCAGTCATCCAAGAACATAACAAATGACTGAAATGAGCTGGAGAGGGATTTGACACAGATGTCTGACATCCCCATCTAATCCTTCACCACAACTGGAAACGCCTGGATGAGATGGACATGATTGCCATGGCAACACAAAAAAAAATAATAATCCTGCCAACCCCAAAAGCTGGGGTGATTGGGTTTGATTTGGATGTCAAATCACTGGCTGGCTGCCAAACAGTGACTCAATGAGGATGCTGGTAATTAGTCAACATCACGGGCAGGGCCTGCGGTCCATTATCATCCACAGCCATGAGATTCTTTGCCTTGGACGCACAAGCCTCTTATGGAGCAGGCGCAAAGCTTAGCCTCACGTGTAACGCTGGTTCCATCTGTTCTCATCTCTAT